CTTCTCAACCAAGATCTCTCTCTCCTGCCCCCAGGAGGACAGTTCAGTCTCATTTAGAAGTCTGAGGCCAAGTATATTGCCATTCACATTTTTGTTTGTTTGTTTCTTAGAACTTTTTATTTTTAGTTTAGTTTATTTATTTATTTATTTATTTATTGTTGTCATAGGGTGCGCATGCTTGCAGGAAAGGAGAGAGACACAAAGATCCAGGGAGGGAAAGTGAGAAATCACCTCCCTAGAAGGAATAACCACATCCCAGGAGAAGCAATCCCTTCTTCCTTCTCCTCTCAGTTTAGGCACGCACCCACGTGCATTTGGCGTGATTTTCTTTCTTCCTTTTTTGGAGAGGTTTTTGCTATAGGGCACGTGCACTCACCAGAAAGACAGAGAGAGGGAAACAGCAGTTAGCGTAATGGCTATGTCGCTGGACTCCCACGTAGTCAACCGTGGTTCGAGTCCTGGACCCGGTGGCTTAAACTCACGCCTGGTGCGTGTGCGTGTGTGCCCAAGATCCCAAGAGGAGAATGGAGAAGGGACTGTGGCATGGCCATCCCCCCTGAGGGGCGATTTCTCGCTTTCTGTCTCTCTGTCTCTCTCTGTCTGGCGAACACACACACCCTATAGCAAAAACCTCTCCAAAAAAAGAAAAAAAAAAGAAGAAAGACAGACAGACAGAGAGAGACAGAGAGACAGAAAGCGAGAAATCACCCCCCGGGGGATGGCCATGCTGCAATCCCTTCTCCGCCATTCTCCTCTTGGGATCTTGGGCACGCATGCACACACACCCAGTGTGAGTTTAAGCCGCTGGGTCCAGGACTTGAACTGCAATTGACTACATGGGAATCCAGCGATGTAGCCATTACACCACCTGCTGGTCCCCTCGGCGTGATTTTCAAGCTGCTGGGTCCAAGACTCCAACCACAGTAAGCCATGTGGGAGTCCAACACCTTAACCACTATGCCACCTGCTGGCCTGCTGTTCATGTTTTTAGTGATTCAAATTTCATGCCAGAGTTACAAGCTCAGAATCCCCTGCCAAACCCTATGACCACCACCATCCCACCCACTTATCTTCCCGCTAGGACAGTCACACTCAGGGTCTGGTGCTCCATAGTGTCACTCAAGTGATGTGACCAGGGCCACTTGAAGCTATGCAATGCTGCAACCTGCATGTCACCCTCACACTTCTCAGCAATGGCTGAACCACGGTTCATCCAAGACCTGCTACAGTTAAATGCTGGAGAAATGTACTTAAATGCATTCTCCACCTATTCGCTACAGTAAGGCCTGTAAACAGTTGTGGTATGAAACAAAACTTTATAAAATGAAACTTATCACACTTATCAGTCTTTTTTTTAAAGAATTATTTACTTAATTATATTAATTATTAGTAGTAATTTTTTATAGGGCACATGCACTCACCAGAGAAAGCAAGCTGCCCGGTCTGGGACTCAAACTGTGGTCAGCCATGTGGGAGATGAATTCCTTAACAACCATGCCACCTCCGCTCACCCCCCACCCCCAATTACCAATCTTATCTTTAGGTATGAGAAACAAAGACAGTAATATAGTTACAATTGTCTTAAAATTAAGTCTCATATTGTTCATTCAGTTTAGCTTGAGTTTACATCGCTTAGTCCCCCGACTAGCACTGGATGTGATGGTCTCTAAGTACCGGTTCCTATCCAGTACCATTTTAAAATGACTTCCCACTCTGCCTGCCTCTGTACAGAGTCTTGTGATTATGACTTTGTCAAACAATCCTCACTTAGCCTGGCCTCCTTGAAGAATGGCTTCATTGCCTGTCTTTCATGTGTGCAGCACGGATCCTATAGTTTCTGTTAGACTCAAGTCTGTATAGTGTCTATACCTTTTGCCATTTTTGTTTGTTTCTTTAGCCAGAAGCTATTCTTTGTCTCTTGTTCTCCATTCAGATCTATCAGTGTTCATGTCTTTCTCTCATCTTTTTATGTTCTATGTTTTGGTTCTTTTTACTATTTTATTTAGTGAATATAATATTATTCATCTTTATTTGTTACTCTATACATGACTTGATAATATATATCTAAGTATTTTAAAAAGCAAATTCCATTTATCCACTTAACAAATAGTTACTGAGTGCCAACTATGTACCAAGCACTAAAGCTACAGTAGAGTTCATCTCGCTCACAGAGCTTGCCATCTGTAGGTTGGAATGAGCAATGTGGATGTATTCTTTTTCCAGATTATGAATAACAACAAATGGCAATAGTTAGCAAAGACCTTTTATAGGGCATAGGAAAATAAATACTTTTAACAGTGTAATAAACCCAATGTACAATGTAAGAAGAAATGAACCCTCTTCTGTCATATGAGCTGTCTCAGTAATTTAGAATCATAACCAAGAAAACATTTCCAAACCTCACATCCACTGTATTATTTGACTCGTGGTCAAACACTTCAAATGCTTCTCTGATTTTTTTGTGAAGTTCTGCTGCTGCTGCCTCTGCAAAAGACAAAGGAATAAATATTATTTTAGTTTCAGTTTGAATTTAAAACAAAAAATTCAATAAACTAACTAGAATATTTTTTTCTTCTGGTTTGGAGAGGTTTTTGCTATAGGGCACATGTGCTCACCAGAAAGACAGAAAGAGACAGAGACAGAAAGTGAGAAATCACTCCCCAGGGGGGATGGCCACGCCACAATCCCTTCTCCTCCATTCTCCTCTCGGGATCTTAGGCACACACACACACGCGCCCGGCGTGAGTTTAAGCCACAGAGTCCGGGACTCGCACCACGGTCGACTACATGGGAGTCCAGCGACATAGCCATTACGCTAACTGCTGGTCCCTAGAAATCTTAATAAGAAAAAAACATAAAGAACTCTTTCCTGATCTTCTTTATGTATCGTTTAGCATATTTAACCTGCTTTGGAGATGTCAAAGAATAAGACATTTTGGGCCAGCCAGTGATATGGTGGTTAACAAGCCTGGATCCCACATGAGTGACAGCCTGGTTCAAGTCTTGCACCTGGTGGCTTGGAAAACACACAAAGTGCACATGTGTGGTTACCCAAAATCCCAAGAAGAGAATGGAGAAGAGATTGTGGCATGGCCCAAGGAGTGAGTGCATTCTCAATTTCATGCTCTCTCTCACACAAGCACACGTGCCCTATAGCAACAGACTATTTTCATTTTTTTCATTTCAAAGATAACTAAGGTGCACTGATCTTAAAGTACATGGCTTAATAAGTTTTCACATTTGTATGTACACATGGAATCACCACCCAGACCAAAGTAACAGAATATTTCCAACGCCAGCCTATCTTCTTCCTCAAGTGGTTTGGCTAGAGTCCTAGCCTGAGGTAGAGTACAGCCACAACAACAGATGTCTGCTTATCAATAGTGTGCCCTGTCTAGCTTGCTTCATTCTGTGCTCGAGGAGGGCTGAAGGTGGGGACAGGCACAAAAGCAAACATGTGCCGTTTCCTCTGAGAGCTTTCAAACTAGTTTTGGGACTAAGACTAACTTGTAAGAAACAGTCGGGCAGTCAATAAATATTTCCTGAGTATTTACTGTGTGCTACCGTATTCAAGGTGCTAAGAAACTAAGGAGACAAAAATTCCAGCCTCCTTGAAGTCATTTTATTGAAGAAGTTTGTACATACTTGGCAAAAATAAGCTTGTACATATTAGGCCATATATATAAAGTCAAATGGTGCTAAAGAAAAAGAAAAGAAAGAAAACAGGAAAAATAAATCTGAGAAGGGACATGAATGCTGGGAGGTGGGGAGAATGGGGTGATATGGTGGTTTAGGAAGGCCTACCTCAGTGATAAGGTGGCATTTGGTAGATGCTTGAAGGAAAGGAAAGAGCCAGCCTTTCCCCTGCACGAAGAGATTTTAAACAGAGAATAGTTAAGTGTAGAGTAGTTAGAAATAAAATGAGAAAGATGTGAGTTTGAGGACAGGGGACTGAGTCTATAGGCTCCTGTAGGCTACTTTTGGCTTTTATTCAGAATGAGATAAGAAACTACTGGAGCGTTTGTCTAAGCATCAAAGTGACACAGTCCGCTCAGATGCACTTGAGCTATTATGTTCAGAGCGCACTAGAAAGAGATAAAGGTAGAAGTAGAGAGATCAGTTGGGCTATTATCATATTCTAAGCAAGAGGCTGCTGGGCCAGGATGGTAGCTGTGGAGGTGATGAGAAATGATAGGGTTCTGAATATTTAAATAGCAGAGCCCATGAGATCTGTAGATAGATTTGATGTTAAGTGTGAAAAGAAAGAGGTCAAGGCTTATTCTAAGTTGTTTGGCTGAGTGAAAGAATGAAGGAAGAAAACGTAATCAAGTCTCAAAACTTATCAAACAGTAAACATAATAGTACACTCGGAGAAGGGAGACAGAAATTAAGTATGTGTTTAGGTAATGTTTTAATTATTACCACCAAATAGTAAAAAGTGGGAAATTTTAAAATCATCCACATTCTTGTTACAATAATGTAGCATAATCACTAATCATTTTGCTGTTTCTTTCCTCCAGTCTTTCTTCATTAATCATCTGAGGGGCCAGCAGATGGTGTAAACGGTTACGTCGCTGGACTCCCACGTAGTTGACCGCAGTTCAAGTTCTGGATCTGGCAGCTTAAAATTCAAACCAGGCGCATATGTGTGTGTGTCTAAGATCCCAAGAGGAGAATGGAGGAGAAGGAATTGTGGTGCGGCCATCTCCCATGGGGGTGATTTCTAGCTTTCTGTCTCTATGTCTCTCTCTGTCTCTCTGGTGAGCACACGCGCCACACAGAAAAATCTCTCGGGACCAGTAGGTGGCGTGGTGGTTAAGGTACTGGACACTCCCACATGGCCGACCGCGGTTCGAGTACCAGACCTGGTGGCTTGCTTTCTCACTTTCCCTCTCTCTCGCTCTGTGTATCTCTCTCTGGTCAAATTAAAATAAATGAATGAATAAATAAAATTAAATAAATAATTATTTAAAAAAAGAAAGAAAAATCTCTCAAAAACAACAAGAAAAACCCAAAACATCCTCTTATATACAGCATTTAACATCTATCATTCATGCTTGCAACAAATACTTATGGGATAAACACTGAGCACCAGGTTCTGTGTCATGTGTTATACATTTTAACCAGAAAGTATTTCATTTTTAGAAAAAAAAAAGAGATGGTGGGGCCAGCAGGTGGCATGGCAGTTAAGGATACTGGACTCCCACATGGCCAGGTACTGGACTCCCACATGTCTAACCACAGCTTGAGTCCTGGACTTGGCGGCTTGCTTTCTCACTCTTTCTCTGTTTCTGGTCAAACTGAAAAAAATACGATAATAAATAAATATAATAATTCTTAAAAAAAAAAAAAAAGAGGAAATGACAGCTCAGGGACGTTAAGCAACTTGCCTACAATCACAGCATTACTAAGTGACAGAACTGGACTTAACCCAAATCTCTGTACTTGAACAATCCCACTTTCTCCACCTGAGCTGACAATTACTACTCAAAGTATATTGCACTCACATGGTATATTTTTCCAGGTTGCAATGTAATCTTTAATTTTTAACAGTATCACAGGAATGTATCACATTTAAATGATAGTATTAAATTTTCTTTTTTAGAGAGAGTTTTTTTGTTTTGTTTTGATTGTTTGTTTGTTTGTTTGTTTGTTTGTTTGTTTTTGCTATAGGGTGTGTGTGCTCACAGGAGAGACAGAGAGACAGAAAGTGAGAAATCAGGGAACCAGCAGTTAGTGTAATGGCTATGTCGCTGGACTCCCACGAGTCCGCCCGCCGTTCGCGTCCCAGGCCTGGTGGCTTAGAACTCACGCTGGGCGCGTGTGCATGCGTGCCCAAGATCTCGAGAGGAGAATGGAGGAGAAGGGATTGTGGCATGACCATCCCCCCTGGAGGGGTGATTTCTCGCTTTCTGTCTCTATGTCTCTCTCTGTCTGTCTGGCGAGCGCACGCGCCCTATAGCAAAAACCTCTCCAAAAAAAAAAAAAAGAAAGTGAGAAATCACCTGGGGGAATGGCCACACCACAAATCCTTCTACTCCATTCTCCTCTTGGGATTTTGAGTACACATGCACATGTGCCTGGTATGAGTTTTAAGTCGTCGGATCTAAGACTTGAACTGCAGTCAATCATGTGGGAGTCCAGCAACATAACCATTATGCTATCTGCTGATCCCTAATTTTTCTTTATTATAAGCAATATGGCAGTGGACAACCTCTGCGAATTTAATTAAACAGTGAATGCTATCTCATTATCTATTATAAATGTACCCTTCTCTGATTACAAGTGAGTCTATAATGATCCACGGGTTTGTTACCACCTTTTTATTTTGAATCGTTTGTTCATGTTTTCTGCTTGTCTCTACTGAGCTCTTCAACAGTTTCTTAACAATTTGTGTGAGCTCCTTGAATAATAAAGACCTAACCTTATGTCAAAATTACTACATTTTCTAGGTTAATTATTTGCATTTGTTATTCTAAAATGGAAACAACTCCATTTCCTTTCTGCTCACTAAAATCATACATAACTACTAGAGAGGATAAAAAGGATACAGAAGAATGGTTTAAGTAAAAATCACTCCAAATTCTATCACCCAGCGCTAACTTCTTTTTTCTTTTCTTAGGTTTTTATCACTGGGCTTGCGTGCTCTCTGGAGAGACAGAGAGAGAAAGACAGAGAAATGGAAAGTGAAAAATCACCCCCCAGGGGGATGGTCACACAGCGATCCCTTCTTCATTCTTTCGGGATTTGGGGCACACAGGCGCACATGCCTGGCAAGATTCTCGAGCCATCAGGTCCAGGACTCAAACCTTGATTGGCAATGTGGGAATCCAGTGCCTTAAGCACCATGGTACCAGCTGGCTGCAGAGCTAACAAATGAACTATATATAGTATTTAATTTATTATTATTTAATTTGACCAAATAGAGAGAGGGAAAGTGAGAAAGGAAGCTGCTGGGTCCAGGACTATAACAGCAGTCAGCCATATGGGAGTCCAGCACCTTAACTACCACACCATATGCCAGCTCCAGAGCGAACTATTATTATTACAATTTTTTTTGGAGAGATTTTTGCTATAGGATGCATGTGCTCACCAGAAAGAGAGAGACAGAGAGATAGAAAGCAAGAAATCACCTCCCGGGGAGGAGGGATGGCCATGCCACAATCCCTTCTCCTCCATTTTCCTCTCAGGATCTTTGGCAAGCACGCAAGCACATGCGCCTGGCATAAATTTAAGCCACCGGATCCAGGACTCGAACCATAGTCGACTACATGGGAGTCCAGTGACAGAACCATTGTGCCAACTGCTGGTCCCGAGCTAACTATTCTTTTTTTTTTTTGAAAGGTTTTTGCTATAGGGTAATCGCCAGAAAGACAGAGAGAGACAGAAAGACAGAAAGCGAGAAATCACTCCCCAGGGTGGATGGCCACGCTGCAATCACTTCTCCATTCTCCTCTCAGGATCTTGGGAAAACATGCACATGTGCCTGGCGTGAGTTTAAGCCACTGGATCTGGGACTCGAACCGTGGTCAGCTACATGGGAGTCCAGCGACATAGCCATTACACTAACTGCTGGTCCCCCGAGCTAACTATTCTTAATGTTACTCTCTAATCTAATTTTTAATTTTTTTATTATTTAATTTTATTTATTTATAACTTACCAAAGACTGGAGAGAAGGAAGGTGAGAAAGCAAGCCGCCTGGTCCAAAACTCAAACGTGATGGTTGATTTCAACCACCACGCCACCTGCTGGCCCCTAATCTTTCATTCAACAGTAAATTTGTGAGCAACCCTTCATTCTCAAAAAAAATTTATTACATCATTTTTAGTGACAGCTTTGTGTCCTGTCATAGGGCTTTGCTGAAATTTATTTGCCCAATCCCTCATGTGTGGATGCTTGTGTTGTTTCCATTTTTTCATTATTATAATCAATTCTTTTTTTTTTTTTGAGAGTTTTTTTTGCTATAGGGTGTGTGTGCTTGCCAGAAAGACAGAGAGAGATAGAGAGACAGAAAGTGAGAAGTCACACCCGGAAGGATGGCCACGCTATCCTTTCTCCATTCTCCTCTCGGCGGGATCTTGGGCATGCACACACATGCGCCCAGCATGAGTTTAAGCCACCGGGTCCGGGACTTGAACTGTGATCAACTACATGGGAGTCCAGCGACATAGCCATTATGCCCACTGCTGGTTCCGTGACTTAAAAAAGCAAAACAACAAACAACCTCCCTTGAAAGTATTAAAAGCAGATTAGATCATGCAGAAGATTTCATCTCAGATGTAGATGACAGAATCTCTGTCCTAGAAAAATTCACTAGAATGAGAAAATAACCCAACAAAATGAAAATAACATATGATAAATATTAGATACCATTAAATGTCCAAACATCCAATCGGTATCTCAGAAGGTAAAGAAACTAATAAGGACACTGATAATCTATTCCCTGAAATCCTGCAAGAAAACTTTCCAATACAGACACACAGAAACAACAGTCCAAAAAACAACCAAGAAAATGGTCAATATAATTGTAAGGACAAGTCTAAAATTGAATGTTAACTTTCAGAATTTAAATTTTTTTTTTTTGGAGAGGGTTTTGCTATAGGACGCGTGTGCTCACCAGACAGACAGAGCAAGACAGAGAGACAGAAAGCGAGAAATCACCCCCCAGGGGAAATGGCCACGCTGCAATCCCTTCTCCTCCATTCTCCTCTTGGGATCTTGGGCACGCATGCACACGTGCCCAGCGTGAGTTTAAGCCACCGGATCCGGGACTCGAACTGCGGTCGACTATGTGGGAGTCCAGTGACATAGCCATTATGCTAACTGCTGGTCCCAACTTTCAGAATTTAAACAGGAAGATCAGGCCACCAAAGAAGAGAGATTAATTACATGAGACAAAATTTATGACTTTTGACTAAAACATGACTGATTTTTCTCCTATGCTTTGTTTTCCAGATTTAAGAATTTTTTGTTTTCTCTTAAGCTGTTGGTAGGTTCATCTACCTACTATTTGAATAGAATCCTAACCTTTTCCCTGGCTTTAAGTCTTAAGCAAATTTCTCTTAACATTTTATGATTTTAATTTATGAAAGCTAAAACGGCTTTTCTTGAGATTAAAAAAATACCTATTTTTTGGGGGGTGGGGAGAGGTTTTCGCTATAGGGCGCATGCACTCGCCAGACAGACAGAGAGAGACAGAGAGACAGAGAGACAGAGAAAGCAAGAAATCACCCCCCCGGGGTGGGTGGCCACGCCGCAATCCCTTCTCCGTTCTCCTGCAGGGATCTTGGGCACGCACGCACACGCGCCCGGTGTGAGTTTTAAGCCACCGGGTCTGGGACGCAAACTGCGGTCAACTACATGGGAGTCCAGCGACATAGCCATTACGCTAACTGCTGGTCCCAAAAAATACCTACTTAATGACCACAGTAAGATATATCGCCTCAGCTAGGTGCTACTTTATAGTATGTTTATTCTACTCACTGAATTTTATGCCTAAAGTCAGACATGTGTTCACAGATATGTATATAACAGCTAAACTTGTTCAGTATTTAATTAAGATTTTTTTGGTACATCAATAAAATGTGGGGAAAAAAAAAAGAGGCATGGAAAGCAACTGTAGATACCAGAGACAGTGTGAGAGGAGGGTGGGAAATGGCAGAGGGTGAGAAGTAGGGAATCAATTGGGGAAAAAATGCAAAAATATAAGAAACAAGACAGGAAAGAAAAATTTGTTGATGATAACATGCATAGTAATATTATTGATTAAGCCAATATACACTGTATTCTGGATGGGAAATCTCATTTTGTATGCTGCGATGATATACAGTGAATGAATGTAAAATAAATTAATGAAAATAAAGATTTTAAAAATGCATTAACTTTTGGGGACCAGAGGGTAGCGTGGTGGTTAAGGCGCGGGACACTCCACATATCCGACCACGGTTCCAGTCCCAGACCTCGTGGCTTCCTTTTTCACTTTCCCTTTCTCTCCGTGTCTCTCTTTGGTCAAATTAAAATAAGTGAAGGAATAAATAAAAATTAAAATAAATAATTTTTAAAAATGCATTAACAACTGCTCATTGATATTTTCTTTTTTCTTTCTTTCTTATTTTTTGGAGAGGTTTTTGCTATAGGGTCTGTGCGCTTGCCAGAAAGATAGAGAGAGGCAGAGAGATAGAAAGCGAGAAATCACCCCCTGGGGGGATGGCCACACCACAGTCCCTTCTCCTCCATTCTCTTCTTGGGATCTTGGGCATGCATGCATAAGTGTCCGATATGAGTTTAAGACACCAGGTCTCAGATTCAAACCACAGTCCACTACAAGTGAGTCCAGCAACGTAGCCATTACACTAGCTGCAGGTCCCAAAACTTGTTAACTTGTATACAGCATTTTCCAGTCATTTGATCGTGAAACTCCTTTTTTCCAAGTATCATCTACCAGGAACAAATAATGCCTTAAGTGAAATCTGGGACTTCTGTAACTCAGAAAATCTTCACCCACTAGACACTGGTATGATGTGAATAGACTACTGGGTCACCCCAAAATACTGATCCTCTTATCTCTCAATGTGTCTCTCAAAGTGATCAGATGAGGTTGGGTACCTGAAAGCAGTCTATTCCAGGGCTTTCCAGACCTCATCTGATCACTCTCGCTCTCTCTCTCTCTCTCTCTGTTTCTCTCCGGCAAGTGCATGTGCCCTATAGCAAACATTTTAAAATAAATAAAAGAAAAGGGGCCAGCAGGTGGCATGGTGATTAAGGTGCTGGACTTCCATGTTTTGGCCATGGTTCGGGTCCTAGATCTGGTGGCTTGCTTTCTCACTTTGCTTTCTTACTTTCTCTCATTCTCTCTCTCTCTCTCTCTCTCTCTCTGGTGAGCATATGTGCTCTATAGCAAATTTAAAAAATAATAATAATAAATTAAATAAAATAATTATTTAAAAAATATTTGGGCAAACCAGCAGATGGTGTGGTGGTTAAGGCACTGGACACTCTCACATGGCCATCCATGGTTCAAGTCTCAGACCTGGAGGCTTGCTTTCCTCACTTTCTCTCTCTTTCTCTCTCTGTCTCTCTCTGGTCAAATTAAAATAAATGAATGAATAAATAAAATAAAATTAAGCATTAATTTAAAAAAAAATAATAATACTTGGGGAAACCAACATAGGTTTCTCATTAGGATTTTTTTAATATTTGGAATTTTAAAATAAATTCATTTAAGATTTTCCTAACATTCTATGTTTTATATTCTTATAAAAATTATAAACAAAATGTAATCTTTTTTTATCAAGCTCCATATGGGTGTTCCAAAGCTCCTCCAGTTGTTATGCCACTGTGCCATATAAATATTAGGTTGTCGGGAAAGTCGCAATGTATTTTTGTTTGTTTTTCTATGCAAAAATGCATCATGACTTTCCCAACAACCCAATATTATTGTCCATGTTCATGTTTTGAAGTGTTAGGACTTAGTAAGCACTATCCTGATCATCTCCTCTACGTCTTTTTGAGGAGTCCCTATTCTCCTATGGCTTAAAAACCCTAACGACTCAGGGGAATGTGAGCAATATCCTGCTCCCCATTGCTGCTCAGAGCCTCTTACTCCTAGCCTATCATATTTTCTCAATCTCTTTAGTTAAGAATAACTTCAAACATACAAGAAAGTTGAAAGCTTAGTTTTGATGTAGGACCAGAGCAGAACCGAGTGACTCCATTTTGTCCCACAACTTCATTTTGTCCCACCTTACTGAGGGACGGCACCATTTCAAAAAGGTGAACCGGCACATAGGAAAAAAGTCATGAGACCATCACCCCACCAGGACTGACCAATGAAAGAAACAAGGAGATACCAGAAACCTAAAGTAACTTTTTGCCTAACTCAATGGCTTAATAACCAATCAACCAGAGACAGCGACATTTCCTGTAATCTACAACCAATGTATTGTCGCCTGAGTGCATTCTTCAGCACCCCTCGACCTCTCCCCCTAAAAGCCAAATAAAAACCTGGCCCAACCAACACGGGGCTCTCAACTCTGATCCACTGTGTCGGTGACGGTTGGGGGCCCTGGCTCGAGCCTGAATAAAAGCGACCCTACCCTTGTATGTTTCCATTGGAACGGCACCCTGGTGGTCTTTGGGAACTTTGCCACAGGGGCACTACATTTGGGGGCTCGTCTGGGATTCCTAAGACCCCCAGGATCTCCTGAATCAGAGGGTCGATGGCCGGTGAGTGTGTTTCCTTTGTCTCTATGTTTGTCCTACTCGGTCTCTGAGGGCCCTAACTCTGTCACACATCAGAAACGGTCTAGCAGACAAGACACGCTGGCAGGCCACTGATCTAGGGCCCTGGAAGATGTTCTAAGACCCCCAGGAGGGGACAGAGTGCTCCTAGTTGTTCTGAAGGGACATGGCGGTCGCTCCCACAGCAAAGTGTGAGGCTGTTGTCCCACTTTAGAGTCGTTCCTCCCTCGGTGAAGAACATCTGCATGGTTGCATTTGTTCTGTCCATGTGTTTGTTACTTATCTCTGTTGGTGTGTATGTTTTTCTGACGGAAATGGGACAGACTCAGACTTCCCCTCTGATGCTTATGATGGACCATTTCAAGATGTTAAGATCAGGGCCCATAACCTTAGTCTAGGTATTAAGAAATGAAAGTTTGGGAACCAGCAGTTAGCGTAATGGCTATGTCGATGGACTCCCACGTAGTCGACCGCCGTTCGTGTCCCGGACCCGGTGGCTTAAATCTCACGCCAGGCGCGTGTGCGTGCGTGCCCAAGATCCCGAGAGGAGAATGGAGGAGAAGGGATTGCGG